GTGGGCATTTTCATCTCTTTTTCCAGATCCCCCTTCCTCCTCCCAACAAACTAAAATGAAAGCCAACCATCTGCCATGCATCTGAGTAGTGAAGGGCAAAATTCACACATCAACAAGGTCGGGTCTGAAAGCTGAATACTAATATTCTATCAGTTTTGTGATCAAAAGACAAACTCATTGCTCCCTAAAGGAAATTGACAGAAAGTCATTTTTGGTGTAATGTTCACCATATTAAATGATGCAAATGTTAAAAAAACAAAATGGCTGCTTCTGATCTTTTTCGGGACTGTGTGACAAATGCAGGGAATACGTAAGAAACCAGAGAATATGCTCAACCCAAACACAGATGCTCCTGGACATTTTGATAAACCCATCTTAAGTTGAAAATACCATAAGTTGAAAATGCACTTAATACTGCACCGTAGAGTATTGGTGATTTTTACCCTCGTGATCGCTGGGCTGACCAGGGGCTGCGCTTGCTGCCGCTGTCCAGGGTCCCGACCATGTCATAGCGAACATTGCTATCCTGGGAAAAGATCAAAATCCAAAATTTGAAGTACAGTTTCTACTGAATGTGTATGGCTTTCTCTCACCATTGTAGAGTCGAAAGATCATAAGTCAAACCGTCCTCAGTCAGGGAGCATCTGTGCACAGTATTGACACCAAACCGAAGGGAGGCATCTGGTTAAGACATTCTTGTTAGAGAATCCCTAATACAGGAAAAAAGGAGACGCTGATTTTAACAGAAACTCCAAATGTTTAAACGTTTTTAAAGTCACATGTTGCCAAACCTTGATTTTACATGGTGGAGTAGGAAACGTGAATGTTAATTTGACAATGAACCCTGCCTGCCACTCACCGGGATGCAGGGGGCAGACTGCTCAATCTACTCTCCCGAAAGCACCACAGGCTGGAAAATAAGTGAGTCTTCCTCACAGCTGCAGTCTCAATTTCTAAGTGAACTCAGACGTGTATGTTTGGAATTGACACATACAGAACAAAGTACCTGCATTGAAAATACACCAGCTCCCCTCTTTTCTCAGATCACCCTCCTACAATAGGATTTTCTGAACAGGTGTGGGTCCTTGTCAAGTCTTGGGAAAGGGGAGTGGTAGTGACAAGAAACAGTGCTATGTCCTAGGTATGATATCCCTTTGCACGTCCGACAAAGAACTAGACTTTCCAAGGCATGTGAGGACTCAGCTGAGAAGAGGCAGCTATGCAACTGGGATAGTTAATTTTATATCAACATGACTGGGCTAAGGGATGCCCAGATAGCTGGTAAAACACAATTTCTAGGTGTGAATGTATGTTTCCGGAAGAGATAAGCATTTGAATCAGTCCTTTGAATACAGATTGCCCTCACCAATGCTGGTAGACATCATCCAATCCTTTGCGGGTCTGATGGTACAAAAAGGCGGAGAATGGGCGAATTTGCTCACTCTTTGCTTGATCTGGGAGGCCCATCTTCCCGTCCTTGGACACTGGCACTCCTGGTCCTCAGACCAAATTGTACCAACTTTCCTGGTTGTCCAGTTTGCTGATGGCAGGCAGACGGTGGGATTTCTCAGCCTCCGTGATCATGTGAGCCAATTCCTGTAACACATCTCGTCAGATCTATGTGTATATGTGTATACACCGACTGGTTCTATCTGGAGAATCCTAACATAGCAACTTAAGTCAAAGGAACCTAGAGACATGCTCCTTTCACCAAGTCTTAAATGAGCAGCAGTGCTAAATGCTTGTAAACTTAAGGATAATAGAAGATAAGCTTCAAGACTTAGAAAATAGAGCCTATTTCCCAATTTCCCAATTACTCATTCATTTTCTGATAACGGAAACAGAACTCTTAGTAGGCAAACAGGGGAAGGAAAAATAGGTTAAATCCACTGCCCTAAAAAAACTAAAATCATTAAGCAGTTCATTGGAGAATTCCAGTTAATAACAGTGGTGAGGCGCAGCTACCCTAGAAAAAGTCCTTAATACTTATGTACCAAAAAATCTTTAAAAATTAACTGTAAAGAGCTACTCAAAATACAAGCAGAGCAGAATTGCCTGTTCCTGCGCGCCTGAATAACTTACCCGTTTAGAAGAAAGCACAGCGCTCCAGGACTCCTCAGACCACCTGTCGCGCAATGCAGATGGGGTGCACATCTGGCACAGCGGGGCTGCCCCACACCCTCCCAACTCAACCCAAACATTTCCTCCCCCCAATAGGATTTTATACTTGTCACCATGAAACGTCTGAATTTTAAGGAACCTTGGACCGGGGGCGCTCATACCCATCAGCTTGTTCAACGTGAGCCCCCGTCTCATCCCCAGGAGCTTTCCCAGAGCTGCTACCTTCACCATGAAGCTCCAGGAGCTTTCCCAGTTCAAACCTGGGCTTCTTCAGCATTTTGACTTTTCTAACAAAGGCATCATGGAACGGATAAACAGCCTGGCAAGGCTTTTCCATGCCTGTGCAAGGCTATCTGGAATCAATGTATTGACCACTTCTTTCATTTCTCTGCACCTCTCGGGTCATGATCTCCGTCATCTTCTTCCGGATTTGGCGGACTTGCTGATGCTAAGCATAAGAGGTCTTTCGAATCTGATTGTTGTGCATTTTAGTAAAACCAACACGGAACAGACGAAGCAAATAACCATCGGTAGTCTTGACATCAATGTGAGCTTCAATCACGGTCTGCCATTCTTTGACCATGGAGCACATTTTGTCACAGGTAAGGTCCATGCCATGGAAGTTAGGCAGTTTTTGCCCTGGACATCCTCAGTCATTTGCTTCAGTTTTCTAAATGCAACTTCATCATTCTGCTGATCAGCTAGGTTCACTTCAGAAACACTTGAGACCATCAGCTGTGACTTTGGTTCCTTGAGCTCTAGTGACTAGGCTTTTCCCAATATTTCTTATTCTGAACATAGCTGGACTTTCACATCATACCAATCTTTCTCAGAAAATGGGTCAACCACTTTCTTCTTGGCTCCCTTCTTGCCACCTTTCATAAGGCGCTTGTTCTTGCCAACTGCCATGGGGCTGCTCAGAGAGCCAACAGGCCAAATGCTTTTGATAAACATCTAGATATTTCAGAATAAAGCAAGATCATTTCCTTCAGGAAAAAGAAGTTTATCTTGTCAAGATCACCTTTCCTAAACTGCAAGCCCCTTTGCAAACAATTTTTCTAGTTAAATTTCAGTCTTGCAAATATACAACTCATTGAAAAGTTTTCAGTGCAAATTAAACATGACCTTTGAATTGATCTATTGTTTTGATAAACTCGATAGCACATCTCTTCTTCTTTGTGAAATTATGGTGCAGCTGACCCTTAAACAACACCGGTTTAAACTGTGCGGGCCCACCCATACGTGGAATTTTTTTCAAAAAGTATAGTTGGCCCTCTGTATCCCTGGGCTTCCCATCCATAGATTCAACCAACAGCAGATAGAAAACAGGATTTTCGAGCCCAGGTTGGGAACCTGTGGATGCGGAGGGCTGACTGATGTGCTATTCTGTTATTTTATATAAGGGGCTTGAGCATCTGCGGGGGGTGGGGGCCCTGGAACAAATACCCCACAATATCAGCAATTATAGTCAAGTTTTGGGGGAGTCAAGTTATATGTGGATTTTCGACTACACAGGGGGTGCAACCCTAACCCCCATGTTGTTCAAGGATCAATTATATAGTAAATAAGACTACACAAATTTTAGAATACATAGGGATTTACACCAAGCTCCAAAATACATCTTGATTCTTATTTATAAAATCAATAATCATATAAGAATGATCTACTTAAATGCAAGTTTCTTAATTTTTTATTCTCTGGAAGCTTGCAACTTCATAATTGCTTCAAGACCGCAACACTCATTCCAATGCCAAAAAAAAAAAAGTTATGATTTCCAAATGTGAATAACCAAGCCCAAGATTTTGTTTCTAAATATAAAATGATTATGCTATTCAGTCCTTAAGAGCAGAATCCATAAAGGCAAAAGAAGAAAACGCATATAAAGTTAAAAACTTTTAAAACAAGTTTCCCTTAGTTTTCACTGCCAAAATGATACATCCTAAAATATTTCAAATGAGTGTTTCCTTTTATAATTCAACCATAGAAAGTTAATTTAGCCAAAATCTCTTATTTCTGTATTAATTACCTCAAAAATAAAAATTTTTACAGAAGGCCTCATTTTGCAAAGTCATGAAACTTTACGTAGTACATTTATCATCACCTCTCCACCCTACAACATTCCAGAGGAGAGGCCATCTACAGACAGGAAGTGGATGCAACTCAGCATCAAAGGGGAAAATTTCAGAAAGTACATGTGTACTAAGAAACTACTGTGAAGAAAAAAGTTATCATGAATTTTTCCCCAAAGCTGCTTTTAAAAAAGCACACCTTATTCTAATACAACCACACGAAAAAATTTTCAAATTTATTAATTTAGCATTTGATGACAAGTAGGAATTCCATCTCTTTTCTTTGCAATTGGTTGAAAATTTATATACGTACTTGTAATTTATAAAACAAAGGAGGCAAAACATTTCATGGGTCATGGAAATTTCGATTGCAAAGAAACAGACTTAGTTTAAAACAATAAAAAGGGGAGCGGGGGAAGAAAGATTGACCAGAAAACAGTTCCCGCTTTGAAACACTGGAAAGTGTCCTCATCTCATTTCACAATCCATCAGTGACCCCAGATGGAGTATCACTAACCAGAGCTTTAATTGCTCAATCAAGACAGTGTCCTTTTAGCAGGGGCTGGCAATGGTTTCTTTCACAAGGACACCTACTTTGGGACTCTCTGAGCTCCACCCCAAAGGACCATAGTACACTATTTCGTTACACCCCAGGAGGACAGTGAGAGTTAAGTTCCGACCTAGCTTTACATTTTGTTTTTCAAGCTCCTGCTTCCCGTGTCCTAAGTCAGCAACCTACTTTGACTGGAGCTCAAAGACCTCTAAGCATTAGGAAGGCTGCATAAATAAAAAGTCAAGAGGAACCAACACTACAACACAGAGAAGACATTTATTATGGCAAAGAACAAATTTTATTTTTCATTTTCCTGAAACACTAAAATAGCACACAGCATAGGAATTTAGCACACGATATAAACTGATATAGGCAATCCATAATCCCGAAAATGGTTGTCTTACTTTGGGACTCCTTAAAAACTTACTCTCTTAAGTGACCTTTATGCAAAGTTATCAACAAACAACCAAAGGAGTTGTCTCAGAAAAATCTCAGTGTAAGAGCTACCTCAACTCCCAGAAACTGGGTACCTTCTATCAGGGAAAAACTTGATTGGCCTCTCTGAGCTACAGCACTCTCACCTGCACTATTTCAAGTAACACTGCTAGGATCCCTTGTTTGAGAAAGGTTTATTCTACAAATGGGTTTAATATTGCAACTCTCACCATAGGGCCTCCATCAACATTGCGTTTCAAGGGGAAGGAAAGGGATGTGAGAAAAGGAATACAATTTTGATGCAAACCAAAATCATTCTACAAAATGCAGAAATGGTAACAGCTCAGCATCAACTCAGCAAGGCTTGGAGGAGTAGAGAGGGGCTTTTACAAATACCCACTTCCGTGAGATGAGCAGACAACCTGTGGACAGGACCCCTGCGGACAGGACCCGGGACAGCAGCCCTTTCACATGGGTGTTGGTGCATCGAGGACTTTCGGTTCTAATCTGGTATTTACACAGGATATAATGTTCTCTTGAAGTGGTTTCCCAATCCTGAATGTCTTTCCAGCACAATTGAAAACGTGCCTCCAGATTTCCTCCTGCACCAACCAGCCTCCCATGAGTTTAAATTCCACTAGTTTGTCTGGTCATGCAAACTAAAGCGGGAACTTCACACACAGCTGCACTGTTTGCATCCAGACTTAATGGAAAGAAGTCATTCTAAGACAATTGAAAATTAATCTCACTACTTTTACTGTTCAGCTTGTACCTTAACTATGGCATATAGGCTTTGCTACTTCAAAAGCTTGTAGAGCCAGTGACCGCAGTGTTCTCCGCAGATGGTTTGAGGTACTTTTGACACCTGGTAGCACTTTCTTGTATTCTGTTTGCTCTGAAAGCATGGGCTCTGAATGGCCAGGGGACACACATTCTGCCTCGTCACTTGGAGAAGCTTCAGGACACAGGTGCAGCAGTGTACCCAGGACCGAATGCAGGCAATCGGGTTCCAACTCAGAGCCTTGCCCCTCAAGAAAAGCACTTGGTGGTTCATCCTCAGCGATTCCCATTTCTGACTGTTTCTGACGGCATCGTGGCCCTGACCCCCGAGGCTCTCCTTCGCAGCACTGTCCTCTGTGGCTGTCAGTGGCCCCGGGCCCTCCTGCCAGCCAGGCCCTCCGCAGGGTTTCCTGGATACCACAGGAAACCTCAGCAAAACGTTCTTCTATAGGAGCAAAGAACAGATCCACGGTCTGGCTCCGAGCCGCTGTGGAGGTGGAATTTCTTCTGACTGATTCTTTCAAATATGGAAACGCTTTGTCACCAGCGTGAAGCAACAGGCTGACCTCCCTCAGATCATTTTTCATTTCCAATGATACCGTCTGGTTTTGTGCATTTCCACTTTCATCAACCACAGGCTTCTTCACCCGGCAAGATGCACCTGACGGGCGAGGGCTCTCCTTCTGTGCTCTGTTAAGTCTGCACAGCAGTTTGTCCGAGTGGTCGCCCTCTCCTTTCCCTTTGGCGAGGCAGGTGCGGGGTGTCCCTCTTCCGTCCCTCATGCTGTGTTCTCTGACGCACTGGGCCTCAGGACACGCCTTTGTCAGTTGGCAGAAGGTCTTCAATGGATCTCAATATGAACCTAGAAAAGATAACGGAATTAAAGCGCTATAATGAAGAAGAGTCTGAGGGAAGCTACACACACCAGAGGGTGAAGGTCTCTTTCAGTCTCTCGTACCAAGGAGCACTACATTTGGACAAAAAACAGGATGGCAACCTACCAATTAGAGGTCACAACAAAAAGAATGGTACTTTATTAATGCAGATGCCTAAAAATACTTAAAAATAAGAAACATACATTCTTAGGCTTTGTACTTTTCACAGCAATATCGTTATTTGCATAGGTTCAATAAAAATCTGTCCTCTCTTTAACCAAGATATAATTGGATGAGTCGATGATGCAACCAAGGCCTGACTTGACTTATGGATCCAGTGTCTACAAAGCCCTCCCAGGAAAGCCAGCCTGAAGGGGTTCTGTCGTACAAGACCCCAGCCCCAAGGTGAAGGGGGATCACGCGCTGGCAGGTCAGGAGCCGCAGCAAATTCTGGAGCCTGGAAAAGAGAAGACTCCATCTGAACTTGTAGGCCCTGCGAGTAAAAACATGGTGCAGAAAGCTTCTCGGGCTTGCTTCCCCACTCTCAGATTATCAAATACTAGAGGCTTTTATAAACCCAATCTGAGGGTTCGCATGAAAACTTCCGGACAGAGGCTGATGTGTGACCCCAGCAGCTGTCCGAGAGCAAACTCCAGGTGGCCTATCGGTTAAGTCGCTGCCCTCACTAAACCTAAAAGAAGAGCCTTTTTCTGTGTGACCAGGAGTAACCTTGCTTTGACGTTATGATTCCCCAGAGGGGAAGATGCCAGACAAGATTACTGGGTGTGCTGTCTAGTGCACCCTTTGGCTCATCTACTTTCACGGGGTCCCGCGCCTTGTCTTCCAGCTGCTTTACAACTCCCTAAGTTGTAGGAAACTTAAAGAGGGAAGCAAATGATTTCTTTTCCAAAGAAATGAAAATCAATTTTGTCTGGAGGGATGCAACTGATTATTGGTCTGTGGATATTGACCAGTTTTACGTCTATTTGTAAATTCACTTTAGCATCCCTGAATACATGTGTGTTTTGCCTAAATTCTCCTTTAAAATGATTATAACATCTTACTAGTTCCCTCATTAATTGACAAGTTAAGAAAAATTTTGACACGTATTCCTTTAAAAAATAACCACAACCCCAGAACCTTAATAGATGAAAAGTAAAGAGATGTATAAATCATATTCAGTAATTTTTCTAAGAGGCTAGTAGGCTAAGGAGCAGACACCTAACCCAAATGCAATAACTACGGGAAAGGAGGGAGGAAGTGTGTGAGGTGGACGCCGGGTGGAGAGAGCTGCAGCTATGTCATCTCCCACAGTAAGACAAGGACAAAGCCTACAAGCAAAGTGTCAAGAAGCAAGAACACAATCACGCAATTCAGAGAGAAGTCAGCGCTGAAAGAAGCAGCTGCGGCTGAAAGCGGCTGGCTGTGGGATGGAGAGATGAGGCCAGAAGCTGCTTTCTCTTAACTCATCTTGTGGAGCTAGGTATGACTGCGTAAGTGTGTTAAATTTTTCAGAAATGTAAAGAGTACACCACAAAGAAAACAAAGCAAGTAAGTCTTATTGGGGGCTGGAGCTGAGGATGGGAGCCAACCAGAGGACAACAAGGAGGCATGGCCACCAGCACCAGGAGCTTGGGCTTCAGTTGGCAGGTGATGGAGAGACACCGAGGAATTTCCAGCCAGGAGATGTTGCTAGGTTTGCATTTTCAATTAATTACGCGGGCTGCAGTGCGCTGGCCAGACTGGAAGAAAAGCACATTAGGCCTATTAGGAGGCTACGCCAATCGTGCAGGAAAGAGGGCATTAGGCAAAGAGGAGAGAGTTTTTTTAAAGATGGTGACTGACTAGATGTAGAAGAGGGTGATATGGCCCATCGGTTTCTTCTGACTTTCAATTCCGGGTAATGAAGGTGTCTGAAAATGGGGAGGAGTTCATCAGGACACACCGAACTCAAGAAGAGTCAGAGCTGGAGGCCTCCATTCAGGAGTCGCCAGCTTTGGGAGGTAGATGCAATGGCAGCCCCGGTATAACACGCAGAGAGAGAAGACATACACAGTCAGGTGCAGAAGGCCAGGATCTCTGAGACCTAAAGACCAGATGGACAAACGGCTACCAACCACCAGGGAGAAAGAATCAGTGTCGTAGACGCCGACTACGAAGAGCGCTTCAAAAAGAGGGGGTTAGGGCCGGCTGAGCGGCGCATTAGTTAAGAGTTGGCTTGGGACACCAGCTCTGAGCAGCAGGGCCCCGGTTCAGATCCCACATGAGGGCCAGTGACACTGCGCCCTCTACAGCTAAGATGATGAACAACAGCTCGACCTGGAGCTGGGCTGCCGTGAGTCGCCGGTGATGGTGTAGGCTGCTGGGCTGTCGTGAGCTACCCTGAGTGGCCGGCAGCCGGCAGCCGGCGTGAGCTGCCGTGAGCCACTGTGAGCAGCCATCCAATGGCTGGCGACCGATCTGCCTCACCCGGGAAGAGTACAATGATCATAATACCAACATGGGCCAGTGCAGCGACGTCCTCCACAACTAGACTGAGGAACAAAAGGACAGCAACTTGGGGCCGGCCGAGTGGCGCGATGGTTGGGAGCTGGTTTGGGACGCCAGAGGGCCCCGGTTTGGATCTCACATATGAGGGCTAGTGACACTGCCCTCTACAGCTAAGGTGCTGAACAACAGCTCGACCTGGAGCTGGGCTGCCCTGAGTCGCCAGTGACGGCATAGGCTGCAGCCCCTGTGGCACTGGGTTGCCATGGGCTACCGTGTGTAGCTGGCAGCCAGCGTGAGCGGCCAGCAGCCACAGTGAGCGGCCGTCCAGATGCAGGTGACTGATCTGCCTCGCCCGGGAAGGGCGCTGTGATGGTGCCAGCTTGGGCCAGTGAGGCAGCGTCCTCCACAACTAGACTGAGGAGCAGGAGGACAGCAGCTTGTCTGTTTCCCTTCCCCCAATTCCCCAGCGCTGTTCCCATCTCCCCAATTCCCCAATAAAAAAATCTTTAAAAAAAAAAGGACAGCAACTTGTCTGTTCCCCTTCCCCGATTCCCCAACACTGTTCCCTCCTCCAATTCCCCAATAAAATCTTAAAAAAAAAAAAAAGGGATTAGAAGTGTTTCTTGCACAAACAACGTGGTTACAGGTAAATGCTGAAAAACTACTCACAACCTTCTGTCCAGCAGTCATTACATGGGGTGACCCCACCTCAAGGAGCACGGGAGAGTATCAGGACAGCTCAGCCAGGTTCATTTCTATCTCATCCCCCTTTTAACTTTTTCTGTTTCATAAAATATACCGCGTTTTGGTAGAGCAAAATATACACTTTATAAATAAGTATGTATCTGTGGGGCATGCTCAAAACTTTTTATTGACAGAAGTGTGACGAATACTCTATATAACAACTGATAAAAATATATTTGACCAGTGTAAACCAATATACAAATGTAAGGTGTCATTTTTTAACTGAGATATAAATGACACAGCATATTAGTTTCAGGTGTACGTACGTATTCAGCATCTGTATACATTGCAAAATGATCACAAGTCAACATCCATCATCACGCATAGTCACGATTATTTTTTTCTTGTGATGAGAACTTTTAAGAGGTGCAATTCTTCTAAGTGTGAATTTCGGCTAAAATCCAAAACAATACTTTCAAAGTTCACCAAGTCAAATATAATTAACTTCTCTTGACAGTTCTCTCAAATTAACTCTCCAAACCATATTATTTCAAACCTTACATTTATTTTATTGATTTGAAAGGTACTAAGAATGAACATTTTCCTGAAATGGAAGTATTCCCAAATACATTTTTAATACATACTAAAATAGGTTTAAAAAAAAAACTTAAGAAAAACAGGTCATTTAATATGGGCCAAGTCTTAAGAAAATTAGTTGCTAACCACTTTTGTTATGTCCTTGTACAAGGACTTGGTACTGTTCAGAAAGCTGAAGTATTCCCAAAATTGTATTAAAATATCTTAAATAAGGCACCATTAATGGGCTCAGTAAAGTAATCATGTATGTAATGATGGAATAAACTATTTGCTGAAGAGCTTCCAGTTTTTTAGTAAATTCCGTTGTAAACCGTGCATTTAATTGTCTGAACAAAAATACTGTAGCAGGTCAGTGAAAACATTTTGTCTGAGCCCTCAACTAGCCAGCTCTTCTGGTTAATTAGACTGGTACACACATTACTGATATTTTGAGAGTCAGACATAAATTTCATATAATTTCTAAACATGTAACCCATTTGTGAAATATTTTTTGTAGTTTATTCTCACTACACTACATATATATTGGCACATTATATTGTACAATACAAAATGAAGTATACATAATTACATAATTAACTCTCCTTGGCCCCAGCTATGTAATCATCTCCCACCCGTGTTAAGTCTACAAAATAATCAGCAGCATAAATTATGGCAAACAAACTTATCCACTAAAACTGACAGCACTAGAATAAAGGAAGGAGTCTATTTTGAAGTTCAAGACAGTATGATTCAGGCAAAATAAAGTGCAGTACTGCAGTCCCTCACCTCCCCGCCCCCCCCCCAAAAGATGGCAAAGGTTGAAACCAGGAGCATAGAGGCCAGATGTGCGCGGAGAACGAGGTTGTCTGGGTGTGCCCAAGATCCTGGTACAGACATGAGGAGTCACCTTCCACACAAATCCCTGCCTGCCAGAGGCAGCTGACCTGCTGTGTGACAATGGGCCTGACCCACTTCGGCAGCTGCTGCCCTCTTGGACTGCTGTCACCTCACCTTCCCTAACCTGAGCTATTAATGGCCTCAGGGACCTGATGGTCTGGATACCACCGCTCTGTAAACTAAAAATATCCTGGCCTCGATGCTTCTGAAAGCCAGCTGGCAACGCTACTCCCAAGGGGACTGGGAAGAGACACGGCTACACAATGTCGCAATGACAATGGCTTGGAGCAAGGTCCTGCCATACAATGGCTCACAGGCACACTCCACGGCCATCCTGGCT